TATTATTACATTGGGTTCAATATTGTATAATTTATTAGCTACGATATAGGGAATTTTTATTTAAAAAATCATTATCTTTAATTTACAATTTAATACATATTATATTATATATTGTTAAATACATATTATCCTTTCTTACTGAGAAGAAGAAACACCTACTTCAGAAAAATTATTCTTCAAGAATCACAATGTGAAGAACAATATTATAATATTATCGTCCTGGTAATTGTTTTAGCGGAAAAATAGTGTAACTGGGAAAGAAAAAAACTAACTCTCCAATTATATCCAATAATTTAAAAATATAGGCAATTACGAATAAGTTTATTTTATGTGCAAATAACAAATTTGGTTCAAACAACTTGACATTTGACTGTTTTATATATTAAAACATAAACTGTGAAATTTGTTTTTTGAATACCAAATAATATTAAGTGCCATAATAATGGATGATATAATTCAACATATTTTTAACTACTGGCTTGATTGGTAATTGCTAAATGAGTTAATTAACATTAAGAACTACTTCTATTTGGTTTTCAAAGTAGAGTGTGTGTGGTTTTTTTTTTTTTGTATTCGCAGTAATATTTGTTTTTAAATGTTATTTGGATAAAACTAATTTCGTATAAACCCAAATACTTCTATTGAAAAATTATTAGAGATGACAAAATAAAATAAACTTGATTTAAGTAATTTTTTTTAATATTTTGAAACAGTGATAAAAATAACTGATTTTTAGAGTTTTTATATATCTATTGCACCTCAAACATTGCAGATTATATAGTTAAAAGTTATCTGTCAAAATATTCATAATTTTCATTCATTATTATGGCTTATAACCCGAAAACAACAAAATAAATGGTGTTGAGCTTTCATCTCGAATTCTAATCAAACATCATTGTCACAGTGTTGTTTACGAGCGTATTGGGAATTACTATAAACCTAAAACCTACTGAAAAATGAATAATATTCAAGCAGTATTCGGCTATTTTTCAGAAAATAAATTATAAAATAAAACATACATTTTACTATAAACCAATTCATAAGTTTCATTTGAGTGACTGGTGAGTTTACGAGCTGATGTTAATCAAACAATGTACATAAACAAAATACATTTAATTATTTTTATCTTAATATATATTTTGCAATGTTTATATAAATAATATAATTAACCATGATATACCTCTATCATTATGACAAAATGTGATCTAACATGATGATACAACAAATATTATCAATACTATTGAGTTTACTGACTCAAACTGTTTTAAGGGTAATACTTATGACTCAATAGTGACTGATGGTCTTATCATTTCGAAAATTCCTGTACTGATCATCTTAACTTATATCTCAAGTTATATATGATCATGATAACCAAATTAATTGAATTGCAAAAAAAATAACATAAAAACATATAATTCTTTATTTAAGGCCAAAAGTGTTGCGTAAGAGCATAACATTTTGTTTCGAATTTGCCCAATGTCGAAAAATTATTATTAAATATTTAAAAATGTACAATATTTATCTAAAATATGCAAAAATTTCAAAAAATATTAGTATTTTGTCAAAACAATAGAGATTGCGTATATTTAAAAATATACGTTGTGTTCGACGTTCTTATTAATATTTAATAATATTCATACAAAAAAAAAAGGTTTTTTGGTTTTTATCTTTTAGGTATTACATAATGTAAATTTTATTACGGAAATTAATTCAAGTAATTCAGTGCAGTATAAAATGCAATATTTATTATGTGTATAATATGATTCAGATAAAATGCGTAGCTTAACCCTAATATAAATAAAGGATAACAATTTTTTTAATGTTTTAAATTAATATGCAAAATAGTGAAAGGTTTTGAGAAAACTGTCCACTACTTCTCAAATATAATACCAATAGTATGATTATAATTTAAAAAAACTAATGAGTACAGTTCTTTAAATAATTGAATAAAATCAAAATAGAAAAATAATTATTGTTTCTTTTGTCTTACAATGTATGCTAACAATTATAAACAGTTACAATTATAATCAGATTGTTAGTTTTCTAATTCAAATCATTGTTCTTCTAAAAATATAAAAAGTGAGCAGTCTGGACGTCTGGCAGATGTGAAACTTCGATATTATTTGTCATAGAAAATATGCATAACAAATGATAGGATGGTAAAGTAAAGGAAATAAACATGGCAAAATCATAATATTCAGATTTTCTAAGAAAATTATTCTTAATTGTAAATGTGCATAAAATGTTTCGAGAGAGTGGCGACGCGTCGCCACAAGTCACCACGTTTCAGCCGATCTCACCTGACGCATTATATGTTTCATATCAAAAAGTTTCCTACTCAAATCTTAGAAGTTCAGATGAGTTAAAAAATAATATGTGCTGTATAAAATTGTTCGTGGAAATGGATTTACGTAATTTTTTACAGAAAAAATAATATTCGATATGATAATATGTTTTAAATTAAATTTTATAAGTAAGTAATATAACAAACTTTTTTCTTTAAAAACTATATGAACGATGTTTTGGAATTTTAGAAAAATCGTATTATGTGCTTTTGTTAAAAGTATTTTACAGTAGGTCAGATGTTTAAATGGCTTAGATTTTCATCAATAGCTAAAACAATGAATTCAAACATCAGATTATAATTATTAAACCATGGACAGCTTAAAGTATATGCATACTGATTAAAATCATTGGTTAAAGCCACTGCTTCATCATTATACCATTTAATTTAATAAACTTTTTTTGAAATGCAATATCATAATGAATTGTGAGCTCCTCAATTATTTGTACATGGAAAAAATCCGTGGAAGTAAAACTGTTGAACGGTAGGTTTTAAGTATACCTCGCCATTGAGCAAGTCACGGAGAAATATATGTTCAATTTTTAAGATTATAAAACATTGTAAATAAAAAATGAATATGACCGGAAACCGTACGTCGACACCACTAACTCTGAAGATACATTATAATTTGTTTATCACAACCATGATAATTCATTAATTTGTAATATGGCAGGCTAAACTCATTTTTGACAAAAATATCGAATATGATACACGTATAAAAATTATTATAATATTATAAATTTATAACATCACTACCTGTGTTATTTTTAATCGCCCAAAAGTCGTTGCTCTTATAGTAGCTTAAAAATATCGAAAACAAAATTTAATTTTATAAGCGTCTGAAGTTCAAATTTTTGAAAAATTGGATGTTTAAAGAAAAATAATGTTTTTTTTTTAAATTGGTGTTATCCTCAAAATATATTATTCGTAAAAACTTGAAAATTCACATGTTATTATTTACTATACAGAATCAAATTTTCGAAATACTTTGATGAATAATTTAATACGAACCTATTCGGAACATTCTACAGAGCGTAAGTAATGACTTATATTATTAAATAATAGTAATATTATGTGAAAAAAATTACTAAAAATTACTATATATAATAATTTATTTAAATTATTTTTGACCAAAATTGATTTAACCTAACCATATTGAGCAGCAAGTTTTGTAGAAAAAAAATTACAAATAGCAATATTATTTTTTTTTTAATACCCTTCGAAAAATAGAATGATAGACAGCTTTCGCTTATATTATTTTTTCAAGTGCAATGATTTGTTTATATGTTCTAATTGAACACATCCATTACAGCTGTGGACCAGTCAATGAAGAGGTACTCTCGGCACATACTATACAGTAGAGCGTCATCACAAGTTTTTTTTTTTCTAAACCTTCATGTCAACTATTATTACTATATTTTATCCTAAAATAAATTTTGTCATCAAACAACGATGTCACAAAATTAACAAAATAAAAATAAATGTATACATTTTATAGTATAAATTAAAATACACGTCTTACTAGATTATATATAAATATCGTGATATTTGACGATAAAATAAAATAAATGAAATAAAAATATATTAATATGTATTAATAGAAAATCAAATTGTATTTGAAAATAACAAAAAATAAAGAAGAATTAATTATTTTAACTTAACGACTACATCAATATTTAACGCAATGACAGTTTTGTAATTTAAACAAAATTAAAAATGGAAAAAATATAAAACTACAAAAATAAAAAATGAGACAGTTGAATTATTTATATTAAATATTTATTAATTAGTTAACATATTATAAACTCTGAACTCTGAAGTGAAGGTTATAATAAAGTTTATTAAATAAACATTTTTTATAAGAAGTGTTTTTTCGCAACCTTAATTAATAAAATAAAATAATATATATCATTATATTATATTCTTGAATACTGTCACCATTTGAATATTTAATAAACCATTTTAATAAATAGTGATAGATATTTATTAAACACTAATTATTTATTACACTTTTTACAGGCCTTTAATTTTCACAATCAACAAACTATTATATTCTCAAATTCTAAATATAAAAGTAAACGAGTATTTGATTATTTTATTTCTTAATAGTATTATTTACTTAATTAATTATTCTAAACCTATTCATTGGTTACATATTTGAGTACTAATTCTAATTTAATAAAATATTATACAAACATATCAAATAATAATAATATCTATAATCGGTATATACTGAAAATACCTATTCATATAATAATATATAAAATGAGTCTAAAACATTTAACAATATAATTTATACTTTTGGCTAACTATTATTATATTAGTGGATTATTTAAACAAGAAACATTTTGCAAATTACCCTATTAACAACATTCACACTTTTATTTTTAAGGTCTTAACTTTGTTCAATGATGATCATATTGTTTAATTTTAAAGTAAATTTACTTTATTAAATTTACTTTCAACAAAATATAATAATTACTGAATCTAAAACAATATTTTGGATGAAAATTAAATTTTATATGAATTACCACTTTTCACCACACGTTCAATAAACTTATAACAATAAAACTAATTTTATAAAATATTTGAATACCTATATAGTTACCTATCTATCATATACGTATGCATTGAATTCAAATTTATGTTCACTTACGCTGTTCGAACTATAGGCTGTCTCGAACGTCTTGGAACCATGTATATTATAAACGAATCGTTTGTTCCTGTGTTATGTGTGCGAAAAAAAATTAATTCTACGAGTAAACACCTTCGTAATTTCAAATAAATACGGAACGAGAGAAGCGATCGTGAACATAAGCGCTTTGAACATTTTGGTTAACCGCTCGGCGACACCGGACTGGCAACCTTAAACGTGTGCTCTCGCATTGTGTTGCCTTGCAACAACCCCGCGCAAGTCCTGAACCCTTTTTACGGCCTTGTATTTACAGATGCACCCGCAAGGGTATGGAAACGGCTATACATGCTCCGAACAGTCTGTGTGGGTTGGAGTTGTTTTTGTTGATTGTTTTTATTATTGTTTTTATTTTTTTGTATTGAAAACGGTATGCAAAAAAAATTCAAAAACAAAAAACATTACATATTATGTGTAGTACTACAGTTAACATGTCTTATTAACCAAATAAATAGATATAATGGGAAATTGTGGTCATTCAAATTAAGTTGATTTTTATAACAAAAAAATACAGACACATTAAATATTTCTGGTACTTAACATTGTATACACGCAGTGTTTGTAATGATATTGATTAACGCACAGGTTATTGTTGTTTGATCAAACTATTTTGACTATTTAAATCAAAGTTGTATACGTCTATTAAATATTTGTAGTTGAATGTATTTTATATTTAATTCATAATACTGAGAAATATAAATTCTGGTCAAGGTTTCTATACCATGACTTCATATTAAAGTTTTATCTACCGACCGTCTGTCATGAAATTTGTTTGCATTATAGAGTAAAATAGCTACACATATCATCCACATAATATGTGCATTTTTACGAAGCGTGTACGTTGTAATAAATATTAGTACAATAAGTACAAAGTGTGTAACAAAACAATGTTGTCTTCTCAAGCACATAAATCTTTAAAGCCGTGTTACATTTTAAATTCGCAGCGCACTCAATTTTCATTTTCGTAGGTGCTTCACATAAAAATGTTTTGTTTCTGCAGTTTAATAAGATATAGGTAATCGTTTTTCTTTTACACTTATTATGGTAACTTAATTCAATTTCTAGAACAAAAGTACGAATTTTCTAGTTTCAAATGTAGTTTCTCGCGATACATAGTATGGTAATTTGTATAATATTATCCACTACTAAGTGTATATTTTATCTTCTGGCACGAAGTTGTAGGTATTATTATTGATCACAACAAAGGTCTAATCATCAACATATTTTATCATTTAAAGTTTAAATAATAAAAGTGATTTATAAATATTATAAATATGAATACTCCAAATGAATTACCGTTCGTTTACTATTATCTATGTAATATTGTATTGAATTAAAATTTATAATTTAAGAAACATCGTCTAACAAATAAAAGCAAAAAAAAAATACCTTAATTAATCTACACATTGTACAAAAAAAAACCGGTGTTTTGGAATCACGCAATTATTACCATTTTCTCACACAAAAACATATAAATAGACCGATATTTCATTATAGGTATGCGGATATTTTTGAATACGTAGATGTAAATATATCATAGATCATAATGAGAACAACTTTTTACTATTGTACACGTTAGGTAGGTATTACATACTTGGCGTACTTAAGAATAATAATTAGAATGCTTTTCGTTTAAGAACCCGGGTCATAATGACTTATGAATTATTATTATGACTTATTAGTCTCCACGGTAATGAGTTATGAATAAATAGTTTAATATATTCAGTATTCACGCGCAATAATAGTAGTTCATTGTGAACTGTGAATTATGTGATTATCAAACCATGAATAACTATGAATACACGATGTAATAATTGTGTAGGAAATAATAATTATACCATCGGCAAAAACAAATTCTTGATTTCCCTGTTATTGAAATTATATGGAAGACATAATATTAATATTGTGATGACTCAAATTTTATTTAAAAAATAAAAACCATAAAAATCCTAACCCATTGTTCACAATAATTTTATATGATATTATGTTTTGTGTGTACCTAGGTATATCAAATAATCGAATATAATTAATTTAGCCGTTAAAATAATTTACTAAATTACAATCAATTGCAATGATTTTACCAAACGACAATTAGGTACAATTATTGACCGTAAATCGCCAATCGTATTATATTATATGTACTAGCCGCTATCATTCATCATCCGTATCGATTAACATTTCTTACTAAAGTATGTCCGATATATATAGAAACTATTTTTGCAATGTAGATAATGACAAGGTTAGGTTAGGTTAGCTTTAAATGCTCAAAAAAAAAAAAGGAAAAAATGCGATTTAATGATCTAGTAACATAAAAAATCTCAATGAAATATCCTCAAAAATTAAAATCCAACTAAAAAAAGACTTTATTTTAAAACTTAAGTGCATCTTACATTAGTTGTGTTTTTAGTTTCATTTAGCATTGACTGCTTGTTCATGTGCTGTTGATTATTTTCAAATAAAATACTTTGACGGTTATCGGCAAGTATGTTATTTTGCATCTTAAGAAACTTTGTTTCATGTCAACTAAAGTCATAAGATCAAACATAATACGTTATAAAAAATAAAAATATTTGTAAAATAAATTAAGTTTATTTATTTTAAATTAATTTAAGGTAAGTTTATATTAAATTGTTTTAATTCTTATACAATTTACGAAAATGTCTTCAAATCGTAAAAATTCCATAAAATGCTCCAAAATCCAAAAAGTATAATATAAATGCAAAATAAATGTTGCATTTTTTAATTCTTTGATGCATGAAACGAATTTCATGCTTGAAAGTCATTATTTCAAACACATATTCTATAACATTTTTTAGAAACCTCAGAAAAAAATTGTAATTGTAATTTAAATTTTAACATACGTAAGTAATGACATGGTAAAGGTCTACAGACATTTTATACAGAAACAATTTATACAAACTACTTATTACAACAAGAAGAATTTAAAATATAATATTATAAGTAGCATTCCATTTTATTTTTTATACTGCGAGATTTAGTTTTAAGTTTAAAATATTTAGACACCTGCGTACAGCTTCCTAATAATATAACAAGGCATTGTAAGTCGAAAAGGTTATTATTTGTATTCTCATTAATATGAATTAATGTATGATTTAGGCTAAATTCGTTGCTATTGTTTTTATATGATACTAAAATATTAAAAAAATTAACTAATTGATTAAAATACTCCACATTTTTTTTTTTTTGATTTTTTTTACATCTTTTGTAGTAGATATTTGTTTAGTGTTATTATGATCAATAAAAAAATAAAAACAATTATTGTTTTGGTAAATTTACAAGAAATGTTATACCATGATAAATTTTCACGATGGTCAATAAATGAATGACTTACATAATAATAACTATTATATTTCATTTTACATAAATATATTTGAAAATTTAAATTCAAATTACAATAATATTTATATATTGGACATTAACTACCTAGTGTTTGACATCCGTCATCAATATTTACGAAAAAGCTTAAATACAAAAAATATACAAATAATATATAAGACAGGTATGTACATAAAGTAAAACAATCATTTTTTTTAAATTACTTTTTTGTATATTATTATTTATTTAAATGTTTCAGAAAAATAAATGGTTTTTTTTTTGTAACAGTTATATCAACATTGTATAGTAATCGGTTTGTTAGTACACTATGAATACAAATAAATAACAGTAACATGGATATATATATTCATATACATGCATGCGTCCACCCTATTAAAATGTTTATACGATTTCTTCAATAATATATTTTACCTCATCATATAATATATTAGGATATTATTTAAAATTAGAGTCAAATATTTGTAACTAAAAAAAAATATAAAAAAAAATAATAGGAAACGATTTTGAAAGTTAAGCCAGCTTTGAGATTTTAATAATAGCTAAATTATTTTGTTGCAAAACAAATTGTAAAAATATTATTAAAAATATTTAAAATGTGTAGTAAAGATTAGAGAGTATGAAAAGATGAAAAATAATTTCAAATTGTTATCATCAAAATTTGAATGATAAGAAAATTATGGAATTACAATAAAAAAAAATATTCATATTTTAAAGTATTTTAAAATTAAATTAGAATATTGCATTCAATCCATTTTAATTAAATGTAAATATGAATATGTGATCAATATTATACTGAAAAGTTGGAAAACGTTTTTTTTTTTTTTAAGTATAAATATAGTAAGCTAAAAAAAACTATCCAACTAAACCAATGAGACATACCTTTCGAATTCGTTCGAAAAAAAAAAAATGTACTACTTTAAAATATTTATTTCCCTAGAAAGATGTACACAATTATGAAATATTTTTTTCTATATTGAACACTGACGTTTCATATACGTTCAAAATATTATTAAATAGATCTGAATGCATCATAATAAGTAATATATTCATATCGTACCTCTGCTACCAAGTATAGTTGTACCAATTTATAATTTATAAAAAAAAATTAATGAATATTTATAAAAATTGTTTTAAATTAAGAACTAGTTCTAAAAACACTAGTTTTATACTTGTATTCAACCCAATTGTAGTACACAACTTTTATAATTTGTTAATCAAAAATGGATAGTCTATGTGCATTATGTATGGAAAAGAGGATAGTTTATAGTTTATGTTCCAAACAAAATATCAAAATGTCAACACTAGTGTACAATGAAATCCAGAGTTTCTAAACTTTCTTGATGCCGTACCTGCCTACATTATTAATAATACATTAATATGCGTTGTGCAATGTTTTAATAATACATGATAGTCAACTCGAGTATAAAATTTGCTAAAACTGAGTTGAGCACCTTTTAAGCTCCTGAACATTTAATTATGAAATTGTTTAAAATTTAGTAGGTAATTTGAATATTGTTTTACGAACCACACAAGAAAAGATCGTGTAAGTTTTTTACTACTAAACAGTACATAATTCCTGTTGCGAATTGGTTGTCGAGCCGTATGAATGAAAACAGACGGCACACGTCAATCGATGCTCAGCCGGTGCTCTATAACACTACTGAACATCAGGACAAACTGTATCATTGTCAATACGATAGCCTCATAATATTGAAAGATTAATATACTGCCAATATAATGACAACGGCGAGTGAGTAAAGTTGCAAGTGTAGTGGTTGTAATTGACGATTTCGGGTAAAGGTAAACAGATATCTAATAATATTAGCTGCA